TGAATATAAATTACTAGGCCTAGTGTTTGATATGGTGAGTTCAAAATGCTAGCTTTGATATGGATTCTTCTATCCCTTTGGCTATTTCAGGAGTATGTAGGCATGACATCCATGGTACTTGTTACTATTTCTTCCCTGACTCTAAAACCTTAAAAATTTTGGAGGAACATACAGAAGACAGTGAATTATGTTTTAATGCTTTTAAAATTTTGTTAAAATTTAAAATTTTTATTTTGTTCCAAGCGTTTAAACAATATTATATTACATGAAAAGCACATTGAGCCTATATATGACTTTCTTGCTAGTGAAATAAAGTTTCAACTTTTTTCCTTGTTGAAACTCTCTTCCTTACTATAGACAAGCTATTTACTAATACTTCCCACTTTGGAATGCTAACTATCTATAAATCATTATTCCTCTATTTAAAAATCTGATTGTAACATTTCCCATTGACAAATGCAAAAGACACATTGGGAGAAGAGATAATTCAGTCACCTGAATTACATAAGCGAACATTTCTAACTTGTGTATTAGTTTCTTTTAAAAAAAGAGACCAAGTTATATGTAAGACTTGGTGGAGGGCACAGTTGTTTGGGGAGCATGGGCATGAAGGGGCATGATTTTTAAAATACAGTAGTAGAGAAGTAAGGCTATGAGAAAAAATTTAACATATTTCTTTATTACCCCTAGTTCTATTGTGCTGTTGTTAGTGTTTTTCTTAAAACAAATTCTATTTTTATTTTCCCCACCCTGTACATGAAATATGCAAATTGACCAGGACAAGAAATAAACATAGACTTGGGATTGTTTAAACTTTATAAAACAATTTGCCTAAATTAAAAATTATCCTTTTCTGGCTATTTATGACTCCTCAGCCTATTTTACAGGAATCAGTAGCTTCGGCCCTTAAAAGCTCTCCTGCAAGACATTTGCTATGTGAGAGAGAATTTATGTGCTGAGAATAGTTTCATTCTTCAGTTAGGCCTTAGGTTTGACCCTATAAAATTTTTTACTCAGGAAGGTACAAAAATTTCTTCTCTTTAAATACTTCAGGAAAAACATAACCATTTTACTAAATAAACTTGGCCATTTGATAGCAGAAATTAGGGTGGTGATAAAATGTGGAAATTGTTCAAAGGCATCTTGTATAAATTATCGCCTTGGCTGCACTCCTGCAGGAGGTGCCTTTTATCTTTTCTTTAACTAGCCAGGAAAGGTCTCCATTACTGGAGAAAATGAAGGCTTTTTAAAAAATGTCCAGATTCAGCTAATAAATATTTTATAACTGTTTCCTGCAAAATATCTACAATCCTTTCTGGAACTTGCAGTGTGAAACAGCAGCCTTAAGAAAATTATCGATTGCTCCAAATCAGATCACTTGTAGATACGTCACCTTCAGAGCATCTCTTTAAAGCTTAGGGTTATATATTTGTGATGATCAATAACTTCTCCCTAAGAATTTAGTTTATGGATTTGTATTTGAATCATAATAAAGTTTACACTGCTAAAGCAAATAATGCAGTAAGATACATCTCTGTAGTCAGTTTCTAAGTCCAGTGGTTGCTTGTTAATTATCTTAGCAAACTTCCCTCAAGACTGCTCTATAATCACTTTAGTATTTTTAATATTTAAAACTACAATTACTCAAACTCATCTATGTGATAATAATAAGTTGTTTTATATTAAGCTGTGTCTTAACATTCTTTTGCATTTAAAATAGTTGTATTTCTAGAAAGTCACAAAATTTAGTATTGGTATAAACTGAATAGAGGGTGATATTCTAAACAGGACCCAGAATTCATTAGTCCAGTATTAAACACACCCACAGGCAACATGGGGTTTGGAACTCACCACGTCTGCCAAACTGCCCAGAAATCAATACACTAGTATAGAAAATACTATCAAGTGGCATGAACTTGGATTTGGCTTGTAGTTTGGTCACAGATGTGATGAGTGGTTTGGAAAAAAAAATCACTTAGAATGAAACAGTGTTAGGATTAATAAGGGTTTCAGAGCTTTTGTAATCTCATCCTCTCTTTGTGAGAAACTTAAGTCCAGGGAGATTAGCAAATTTACTTAAGGTCAGACAATGAGTTTAAGTGAGTTGCAGTGCCAGCCCAGTCCCTGTGACCCCAGTCTAGCATCCTTACCACTAAATAATTCTGTCTCTGTGGCACATTGATTACATCAGAAGCCAGATTCTGTTCTCTCTCAGGGTAGGCCAGGTGGAGCAGGTGCAGGTCCCCTCTGTGCTCTGCTCTTTTCTTTGGCAATCCTGCACTATCCCCTCTGGGGCTGCAGACATCTCTTTGAAGTGCTCCCAGAGCTGCACCCCCAGAGCCTGTGACTTAAGAGATGAGTCAGGCTTATGTGCAGCCTCATGAGGTGTGTTCATGCATGCAAGTCTGTGCATGTATACACACCACCCCTCCACATATGCATAGCTACATCATTCTATCACTAAGATGGGGTAGGCATATTCCTCCAGAGTGAGTACAGAAATCAATTAACAGAGACTATACCCTGAACACTCTAAGGAAGCAAAGTCTGTGTGTGAAGCCTTGGAACAGATGGATAAGTAGTGTAAGATAATTTTAACAGCCCAAGTCACTTACCTTTGGTGTTTAGAGAGCTTTTGCCATATTGTGTATGTGGTATGACTCTCTGGGGTGGATTACTCTAGTCTTAGTTTGCAGGTTATGACTTGGGGTGCAGGGACTCCAGAGGTGGTAGCACCTTGAGTCAAACTATTAAAGATACCTGAAATCACAGGAGATGTCTATTATTGGACATCCCAGGAAGCAAGTATTTTCTACAGTAGAGCTACAGGTTTCATGAAAAGTATAATGTTATCTAGATTAACAAATTACTTAGGGCTGAGGTGGTTGAAGGACGAGCGATGAGGTCTCAGGTGTGGCTGTCTTGAGAATGATCTAGTTGAGTGAATGGCCTCGTTCCCAGAACCCAGAGGACTTAGTCACTTGATATACAGAAGGGAAGTCTCTGAATCATTCAT